AGATGCAGCATGTTTTATACTTAATGTGAATATAATTCATACTTTGTTGGCATCTTATTCTGAAAACCGGATGTTCGTCTGAAGAAACCGGATGTTGTCTCACGTTAATCTTTCCGCTAACTTTCAAAGTCCTTCGCTCGCTCCCAATCTGTACCGTTTAACTGCATTTACCGTGAATGTCAGCATATACAGTAGGCGCACTAACATGTAAGTGTCTGCTGACTTTACCGCAGCGATGTCCAGTAGTCTCCAGGGAGAGCAACAGCTGGTGCAGCTTCTCTCTTTATTTCTGCCCCCCCCCCCCGACCAGAAGCGGAAGTCGCCTTTTCTCTACGGCAACCCTGACGGGACATCATATCTCCAATACAAAACGATAAACATGAGACGGTCTGTTACAATAATAATAAATTAAAAATACTTACCTGTTTTTTTTTGTTTTGTTGTTGTTGTTTTTTAATTATTATTATTATTATTTTTTTCCCATCTCAAAAGGCTCAAGGACATACACACACATGTTCACACACACACACACACACACACACACACACACACACACACACACACACACAGTTCTTGTCATCCTCTTGTTGTTATGTCTATGTATTGTCTCTTGTCTTTCAATTAAAAAAAAATAAAAAATAAATAATTAACAATACTAAATTTTAAAAACTGCGTTAACGCTCGATAAAATTAATGAATGCGTTAATGTGATAATAACGCGTTAACTTGCCCAGCACTAATTATATTATATTACGTTATATTATATTATATTATATTATATTATATTACGTTATATTATATTATATTATATTATGTTATTTTATATTATATTACGTTATATTATATTACGTTATACTACATTATATTACGTTATATTATATTATATTTAGTGCTGGGCAAGTTAATGCGTTATTATCGCATTAATTAATTAACGCCGACAATTATATTATCGCGCGTTAACGCAGTTTTTTATTTATTTATTATTAAGCGACATTTTTAACACAAGAACCAGGCAGCAAGCAGTGAACAGCTGTGTTCATGTGGCGTCACTTCCTTCCCCCCGGGTCCAGAACCCCTCCTACACTCCGTCACCGTCCTTCACTCTTGTCTCACACACACGCGCGCGATCGTCTCGTTACAGATCAAACGTGACTGTTGTGAAGTGGAGCTTCTCGTGAGGAACAAGACACGTCTTGTTTGAACGGAACACTTTACTGTCTGAACTGCAGTATTACAGTGTTACAGTGTTACAGTGAACACAACGCGCTCTTGCACCCGACATGCGGTTTTCTACGTATCAACATTGTTAGTGTCAAGAACACGTACCATTCTACTTCCTGTCTCTTCAAAGTAAAAGCACTTCCGTTTTCATGCTCTTCACAATAAAAGTAAATCATGCAATCAAACAATTTACAACAGTGACAATAATAAAATACATAGTGTCGAGTTTTTAAAGTGTTTTGTTTGTAATATGTATAATAAGCATCATTTAGTTATCACTACTGAGAATTTAACAAACATAAAAACATGACGTAGATATGTTTCAGTTCTCAAGAAGTAAATTTAAATATCATCTCTTACACACATGAACATAAAGTTGTGAACACCGGCTGAATATCTATGATCAGAATCATTATAACTGTTTAACTGCTGCTGTGTAAAGGGAATACTGCTGCTAACAAGAACCTGATGTGTTTAAAGTGTTTACAAACCAAATGGTATTGACCTTTTGTTCATATAGCAGTACTTTAAAATAAAAGTGCACAATACACTACTTTTGAATTCATTATTGAACTTTGCCATAACAATGAGATTAATCACGATTAATCGCAAAAAATCCATGAGATTAATCGCGATTAAATATTTTAATCATTGCCCAGCACTAAATATATTATATTATGTTATATTATATTATATTACGTTATATTACATTATATTATATTACGGTATATTATATCATATTATGTTATATTATATTATATTATATTATATTATATTACATTATATTATATTATATTATATTATATTACGTTATATTATGTTATATTATATTATATTACGTTATATTATATTATATTATATTATATTATATTACGTTATATTATGTTATATTACATTATATTATATTACGGTGTATTATATTATATTATATTATATTATATTATATTACATTATATTATATTACGTTATATTATATTATATTATATTGTATTACGTTATATTATATTATATTATATTATATTACGTTATATTATATTTATGTTGAATATCAAATAACATAATAAATATTAATCTGCATGACGAGTACTTTTACTTTTGGTACTTTAAGTATGTGTTGGTGCTCATAGTATTTCTACACTTTGGTAGTACTTTTACTTCAGCTTCGCTCTTTTTAAACATTATAAAAAGGGGACAGCAAACAGCAGAACGTGCACGATGAAATAAATACATATATATTGTACTATTGATAATTATATATCTATTTGTTGCATTGGTGTTGCTGTTGAACGTGTCGTGGTGCGTTCACTGACGTCTGTTTTTAGAGAGAAGTTTTCAGGAGGAGAAATGTCCCGATGTCTGTGAACTAGACGGACAAACTGTTGTATTATTAAAACATTCACACATGATGAAGAACTGTATTCCATGTGTGTGTGTGTGTGTTGCTACCTTGGACTTGTGTCAGCCAATCAGGTTGGTTGTAGTGCTCCGAGGCGCTGAGGGAGGTGTTGAGGAAGACGAGCAGCAGAACCAGCCAATAGAACGTCACCGACTTGACGGCGGTGCGACAGTTTCGTCGACAGACTCGATTCCAGCGACGCAGCGTCCGACTGAGAGACAAAAGGATATCGAGAGTCAAGACTGTGAGGAGGAAACTCTTCTGTCCTGCAGGTGTGAGGGACAGTGAACTCACCAGCAGCTGATCTTCATCACCCGGGAGCTGAAAGGAGACTCGAGTTAGTTTGTTCAAACATGGAGGCTGGATGGTGTGTTCAGGGACCTCTGTTCGGGAAAACGTCCCGCTCAGTCTCACGTGAGACAGAGGACAGTTAGAGGAGGGTTCATGTGTGTGTGTGTGTGTGTGTGTGTGTGTGTGTGTGTGTGTGTGTGTGTGTGTGTGTGTGTTACCAGCAGTTCTGACAGCAGTTGGTGTGTTCTTCATCAATGTTCTCTGTGTTTTCAGAAGCTGTATCACTGGCAGGAAGACTCGCTGAGAGACAGAGAGACAGACAGAGACAGAGAGAGAGAGACAGAGAGAGATTTTGATTTTTAGAAACCCTTTATTGTCTTTGAACAACATGTTTCTTTTCCATTTAAAACGGTTAACCAAATAAAGTCCAACAAACTTGTGTATATATATATATATACATGTATATATATTAGTGCTGGGCAAGTTAACGAGTTATTATCGCGTTAACGCATTCATTAATTGACGCTGACAATTATTTTATGTCGCGTTAGCTAATTTTTTTTTTGAAAGTCCGTGGAGGAAGTCTTCAGCAGACTCCGTTGATGCAGCTTGTGGGAGACGTTTAGATAAACAAAAGCAAGACAAGCGGCGTTACAACGAGCACCAGCTGTTGCTCTGCCTGGAGACTACTGGACATCCTGCGGTAAAGTCAGCAGACACTTACATGTTCGTGCTCCTATATGCTGACATTCACGGTAAACGCATTCAAACGGCACAGATCGGGAGCGAGCGAAGGACTTTGAAAGTTAACGGAAACATTAACGTGATACAACATCCGGTTTCTTCAGACGAACATCCGGTTTTCAGAATAAGATGCCAACAAAGTATGAATTATATTCACATTAAGTATAAAACATGCTGCATCTCGTGAGTTTAAGGGAAAATATACATATGATATTAGAATGATATAATATAAGGAATATGATCACTACTGTGTAAAGAGAATACTGCTGTTAAAAATAACCTTATTTGTTTTAATAAGTGTTTACAAACCAAATGGTATTGCCCTTTAGTTCATATAGCAGTACTGTTAAAATAAAAGTGCGCAATATACTATTATATAATATAATATAATATACCGTAATATAATATAATGTAATATAATAGAATATAACGTAATATAATATAATATAATATAATATAATGTAATATAATATATAGTTAGTGCTGGGCAATGATTAAAATATTTAATCGCGATTAATCTCATGGATTTTTTGCGATTAATCGCGATTAATCTCATTGTTATGGCAAAGTTCAACAATGAATTCAAAAGTAGTGTATTGTGCACTTTTATTTTAAAGTACTGCTATATGAACTAAAGGTCAATAACAATTGGTTTGTAAACACTTTAAACACATCAGGTTCTTGTTAGCAGCAGTATTCCCTTTACACAGCAGCAGTTAAACAGTTATAATGATTCTGATCATAGATATTCAGCCGGTGTTCACAACTTTATGTTCATGTGTGTAAGAGATGATATTTAAATATACTTCTTGAGAACTGAAACATATCTACGTCATGTTTTTGTTTGTTAAATTCCCAGTAGTGATAACTAAATGATGCTTATTATACATATTACAAACAAAACACTTTAAAAACTCGACACTATGTATTTTATTATTGTCACTGTTGTAAATTGTTTGATTGCATGATTTACTTTTATTGTGAAGAGCATGAAAACGGAAGTGCTTTTACTTTGAAGAGACAGGAAGTAGAATGGTACGTGTTCTTGACACTAACAATATTGATACGTAGAAAACCACATGTCGGGTGCAAGAGCGCGTTGTGTTCACTGTAACACTGTAACACTGTAATACTGCAGTTCAGACAGTAAAGTGTTCCGTTCAAACAAGACTTGTCTTGTTCCTCACGAGAAGCTCCACTTCACAACAGTCACGTTTGATCTGTAACGAGACGATCGCGCGCGTGTGTGTGTGTGTGTGTGAGACAAGAGTGAAGGACGGTGACGGACTGTAGGAGGGGGGTCCGTGTACATTTTAGTCATCTGTTTTACCGTTCAGACGAAAATACGGAAATACCATGGTATTCTCGTTTTTCGTTTTTAATCTGGGCCGATGGGAGTGCGTTAGCATCAGTAGTTGACTACATGCTTTTTTAATATTCATTTATCTATGTACACAGCAATAATTAAGTTTTTCATTAATCGGTGCATTGATGTTTGATGCAATACAGTTCGTGCACTGCTGTCTGTCCACAGGTCTCAGTTTTTTGGTAAGTAAGCAATTTATAACCATATGTGTGTTGTATTTGTTCTAAAACAGAGTTTTCTTTACACTTTAAAACAGTGTTTGATAGAAAAAATAATTTAGCTAACACTATCAATTGTGTGTTTGCTACTTTAGCTAATGTTACAACAGCTAGCTTAGTTGTGTCGTAACATAATGTGAAGGTGATATGTATGTTAACATTAAGCTAACATGGTATTGCTCTCAAGTGTAATGCTAGGTGAATTCAATTTGAGTAGCTTTTAGACTGTTTTAGTAGCGTGTGGACTTCACAAACATGCAAATGTTAATGGACTATTGAATGAGTTGTAGACTGGCCATGCTGATTGCCAACTGTATATTCCTGACTGGTTGCAAATGTGTTTTCAAATATTTTCAGTATGGTAGAATTAGACAAAGCTAACTGTGAAATCACGTTAGTAAATGGTGTTGAAGATGCA